GTAACCTGAAAGTAACGTATGTTATATTTGGGATTACACTTTACAACCTGAAAGTAGACTCGTACCCCTCTCGTAGCCATGTCCGGGAGAAATATTTCCCCAGCCAATCAGAATGCTCTTATGTAGAGAAGAAATGGGGTTAAAATAGGTCTTTGAAATATTTTTTCATTGGGCTTTTCCCAGACGCTTCAAGTATATTCTAATTATTGCATAGTCCTCCTGGTTTCCTGAATTTGTATAACCAGGATATATTAACATTATGGCGTAAGAAAGTATTTAAGCATGTTAAACATACCCTTTGAGGTAATTTCCTTGGCGTGGATGCCATGTTTGTTTTCCAAGTAAGCTAGAGCTACATGCCCTTGAAAATAGTTCGGTGACAAGACTGTATCTTTCTCTCTGCGCTTTTGCGCTCAGACAGTGCCACGTTCAATAAAATGGCTACGAGAGGGGTACGAGTCTACTTTTAGGTTACGGAAAGGGACGAGTAGTTACGAATGTGACCACGGCAATCACTGCCGAATGGCGGCCATCACTGATGGGCGACATGCCATACATTTACTATAGAAAAATCCGAGAACGCGTGGTTAGAATTTTTTCATGGCATTTTCATCGATACTATGGCAAAGTGTACATCACCAGAACAGCGGCCATCGTTACTTTCAGTGTACGAAAACGTTAATTAAGCAGTTTCAAGACACGAAAGTCGTCGTTACATGGGCGAAATGCAAACAATGATACACAACCCATTTTCAACACTGACATGCGCGTTGATAATTTGTGTCAGCTCGCTATTGTCACGATATCGTACACATAAAACATGGATCTGAACGACCACATTGACTGAATATATACTACCCATCAATAGTTTAGACTAACTTAAAGAACTCATTATAAGTTATGTATATATATATATGGTTACATCGAAGATGAATTTCTCTACAACATGGTGGAACCAACTGCAAATCTTATGCAGGTGGGTTGCATGAGGATCAAATTACTGAAAAACATGACATTGTGCAAATATCGTGCATGTGAACAGCCGCGTTTCGGTGTTGAGTTTTGTTAAGAATTCGCCAGTTTTCACTGAGTTTCACCATTTATTGAACTTATGACAATAATCTTTTCAACGTTACGAATTTGTTAAAAATTACAAGACATACGTTCATGTGTAAACAGTACCTTTAAACAGCATGGATTATTTTGCAAAATCTAGTTTAGAACAGTTGACTGAAGTAAGTGGCTTCATTGTAGTGAATCTAAACTTTTGATTGGTAGTATAGTTGTATGCTGGATATAAACTGAACGCCCAGTAATATACACATAAAACAAAACAAAAGCCCCGATCTTAACCCTTTAGAGCATATCTGGATTGGTCGTCGTGTGCAACAAATGGATCCTTCTGTACAGAACTTGGCCCAACTGGAAGCTGCTTTACACGAGTACTGGCGTGGACTGCCCCTTCAGAGGATAAGGAGGCTGACAGGGGGTATGGGGAGGAGGGTGCTGGCTGTCATACAGTCACATGGAGGTTACACTCGGTATTGACCTTGAATCATGTAAGACACGCAGAATAACATTTTGAATGTTCACATTCACCAATAAATTCAACATTAAACATTCCAGGGCCATACTTGTACAGACATGGTTTTGTATGAAAATCAGTGGGGTTTTTATAAAATGAGCAATTATCATCATAAAATGAACATGGATTCAAATCATTTTCTTGTTTTTTATGAGCCAAAGGATCACATGGGTCTGAAAAACTCAATTTGTTTCCATCGTGGTCACCACGAGAAGTTTTATGTACGTGATGAAAACCTATCATTGCAAATTACAGGGGATGCTTAATTAAGTTCTTTCTGTATAGTAACCAGAAAATTGTTGTTACCCCATTCTATAATTAATAATAAGTAGATCTAATATATTTGGAACACATTACTGACTAATTCAACCATGTCTTTTTAACAACGGATGTGCTTTCAAAAATGGAACAATAAAAAAGATATAATTATTATTTTTATTCATTTGGAATATATCATTTTAATATAACATCCATATATATTCTTCCATTTGGCTTCGGGTTGATCGTGGTGATGCAATAGGCATTGATTTGAAAAAGTATAACAATAGTCATGGTATGGCAACATCTGCTGAGAAGATGATACACATCGGGGGTCTATGATATATACTCCTCATCAAAAGTTTAGACTCACATCTCACATTAAGCACTCACTATATGATATGTATATATATATATGTGTGGTTACATCGAAGATTGATTTCTCCACTACCTTGAGGGGATCAACTGCAAACCTTAAGCAGATGTATTGCACGATGTTTTGGTGTAAAATTTCGGTAGGAATTCGCCAATTTTCACTGATTTCTGTCATTTATTCATGACAAAAATCTTTTCAACGTTACCGATTTGTTTTACAATACATCAATTCATGTGTAATCAGAACCTTTAAACAGTATGGAATATTTTGCAAAATCTAGTTTAGAACAGTTACTTGAAATAAGTGGCTATATTCACACTAGTGAGTGTAAACTTCTGACGGGAAGTATACATAACACTGAATGTTCTGACAACACTAAATCATGAGTCGTACGGCGGTCTTTCAAATCTTGAAAAGGAAGAGTCACTTGGCATATCTAACCTGTAAGGGTGTCGTCATTGTTTACAAATGTAGTTACGACTACCACCTTGGGACTATTTTTAACCACTCTGGGTCAAGGATATTGCAGTAGTTGACTGATAATAGAGTACCTGTCACGATTGAAAGTGTCGTCATCAAGTAATACGATATGGACATATAAGAAATTATTGTACGGTTAAGGGTCCGTTCATAATTCATGTGGATGGGGGTGGGGGTGGGCTTCCACCCATTCTGTTCTGGGGAGGTAGGGGGTCGTAACTTTTGTACGAATGTACTGGGGGGTCAATTTTGTGCATAAAATATTTAATAAATGATGCTTAAAAATTAAAGGTGCATTGACTTTGTACATGGGGGATCACTTACACTGTACATAATTTTTGGGGGGTGGGGTGTTTTCATTCACATTACACATGTTTCTCCATAAAAAGCATCGCCATATCCCCTAGCCATTGATTATGACCGTCCCTAAGAGTGCCACTCTTTCATAATCACCCTGACACAACCTTGACATCAAATTGATACATCGGTCTTGGCTTTTTCAACCTCTTTACCATATTCAGGTTGTTAGAGGAGGTACTTGGAGTACTTAGAGACTACTGAACATACGTCATATATGAGTGAAGGGTACCGCCGTATCAAGCAGCTAGGTTGATAACCAGATAATAAAATACAGAGATATCTCTACGTAAAACGGACGTAGCTCAGTCCTCGACATATTTCACATGGTTTGATATTACAAACGATGTAAAGATATGTCTGGAGATCAAAGGTTATCTGGTGAACTACCTGTCGCTTCACACCTGTCCGCACACCTGAGACTATCCAGTCACAAGCACATGGCGGAGATCATGTGGTCATTGATACACGAGGTTGTAAAAATTGATTAACATTATCTTTGACTCACCACGTATGAGCGCAGGAAATCGTTTACATATTTCGAGACATGTGCAGCGGAGTTGAAAGAATTCGATAAAAAGATCTAATGGGAAGATAGCAATGCATGTATATGTGTTCACACATAAACTGTCGTAACAGAATACGATGATAAACATTTGGCCTCGCTATCTTGAATCAGCAGCTAGGCAACGTGAAAATGCTGTTTTTCATCACATATGAAAAGTATATGCAGGTAAGGTAATACACAGTTTCGCTTTCCTTATACACCAACCTGAATAATATTTAAACCCCTAAATCTCAAACCTGGTCGGCTTTGCAGAATCACGATCGTCACTGATGGGTAACATCCAAAAGCGCAACTCATGTACGCATGGCATGAAATGAAACGAAACAAGATATATTGTTATGTGGCGTCTTATTCATAAATCGATTAATGTTTCTATATATGTGCAATGTATGATCACTTGCAATCAATTCAAGCACAATATATCAATTATTGCCGGTGTTCACGAAATGTGTCAGCCTAGCCTATCGTTAACACTGACTTTTAGACACCATATAAAGACATGTATTGATAACAAAATAGCATGATAAGCGATCCAGATACTTGATGAGAGAGGCGTCAAGAGAAAAGAATTTAGTTCGAAGGTCATTCTCTATTCACCTAGATGTCTCATGCCACTAGCAACGATCAAAACACGAATCATCGATTATATAACTCAGTAAGGGTGTGTTCGAGTAACCTACATTCATGAAACTGATATAGGCCACGTCCCAATACGTTAAGCCAATATTTCGTCACAAAACAGCATTCACGGTGAACTTGTCAATGAAACGTCCTATCCCTGTCATTCATACACATATCAGTGTAAAATTACACAGGTAAATATAGGTGTGACTGGTAGGGTAATGCGCCGACATGAAGTCACTACGTACGCATAAGTAATAACGATGGCCGGAGAGATCAGCTGTGTTTTACGCCTAGTTGAGGGTCGCGTTGTTTTACACAACACATTAGGATTTGTACTTTAGCCGATTAGCATTAGTATTACTCTACTTCATATTTGTGCAAATAAAGCAGACAAAAGATGTGATTGGTTATGGAAAGGATCGACTGTTGCCGCACCTGTATTGACACTACTGACTTTTCAAAGTCCTAGTGCACGGAAAGTTCCGCTACAGACTTTAATGCAGGGAAAACGCATCGGATTCTGTTCCTCACTGTGGGTAACGCGGATAAACAAACAGACCTATAAAATCGGTTCGTCTTAAACAGACCTATAGAAATCGTTTTCGTCATTACAGCCTGTAATACTGATTTCATGGCAAATCTGAACTCCTGCTTGTTATCTGGGAAATCATTAACTGTAAAGAATAATCAGTCTCGTACTATAAGATCATCGTTCTTTAAAGTACTTTAAAGCCGATGTCCTGATAATGTCATTGACAACAAATCATTTTTTTTTAATTTCATAGATTTTATTACAAAATATAACAACAAAAAGAGATCAACAATAATACAGGTTTGTCCCTAGTTGGCTCAGCTCTTTCGTCTATGTACACCTGAGCTGTCCTCGGAAACCCAACAATACGTCCATAGTTATACCACCCTGTCTCACGCCACTCTCATCTGGAGTCATCCTGTCATCAACGCCTGTGTGGAGCACAGCCAGAAAAAAAACCAATATTCAAACCTTTCTTTTCGATTTGATTGATTCTAATATCAAAAACGAAATTGGACAAGTGAACATAAAACCCATTGACTTTGGTAGCAGATCTGTTATATTGTATGGTTCTGTTTTCAAAGGCGTTTTATCACTGCCACGTAGGATTGTCTGAGTTCTGTGGTAACAGAAACGGCGTGTTGGGTGGACATGGATAAATGCTCATACCTGCTACAAGGTCACAACCTGAATGAAGACTGTTCTATATACTGTTTAGTAACGTCTACCTTTGGTCAGTCTATTGACCAGGTCAGATCACAGCACCGTTCAGAACTCGGTTGGTTACACCCAAATCACAGCACCGATCGACGTCCATCCCACGTTCAAGAAGAGTTGCTAAACGCCATCTTGAATTATCCATCCTTTCTTTGGAGAAATGAGATTTACACGTGCAGCCCAAGCTGTAAGAAACGTCTTATGACGTATGGGTGTCATGTTATGTGACGTCATGTAGAAATCTCTGGTATACTGTCTGCGCACGCATCCCCGAAAAACCGTCCCTGTACAGTTTGATGTTAACGCCTGAGGCGGACGGAGAGACGACGTCTGTGACGTTATATCAACATCCGGGTAATTCATCCCGGTAGCAACGTCGCCTACCAGCACTGCAAGACGTTGCGGACACTGCCGAATAATGGGACGGCATTCCGATGGAGTCTGCAAGAATGAAAGAATATGATATAAGAAAATGTAATTGATCTGAAGTCTATTGTATTGTGATACTGTTTTAATTTATCTTAGTGGTTAAACGGTTCGATCGTCACGCTGACGGTCAGGTAGCGATATCCCAACAAAAGTACAGAGACCCAGTTCTACTGTCCACCAATGTGATATTATTGGAATATTGTTACAAACGTCGAAAATATACCTCTTTCACTATTATATGAAAGTGTGCGTTTTCATGCAGACCATTTGTAAATAGATACTCTGAAGGTTACGACGACAAAACCGAAATGCCACAGACACCTCTGTGTTCTGTTCAGACAAATGTATTGACGGTTCCAAGGATTAATGAGGTCAGGGCTGCCTTAGAGCGTGAAAAATCCCTTAAAGCTGTTAAAACCGATTATACACCGAAACGTTTTCAAAAATAAATGTATTCCAGGATGCTCACCTGACTTCGAACTGGGGTTTTGACAGACAAATGACTTCGCCGTCACAATTGATGTAGTATTTCTCTGCTAACGTCGTCTCCCCGTCTTCCGTTGACGTCAGAGTAGCCCTTGGAAAGGTCACTCTATAACCTTGAACTCTGTGTTGATCCACGAACTCGTAATCAAACTGTATTGGGTAGGAGATAAGGATATATTAATTTCAGTTAATGGGGGTGTTATTTTGGTGGGAAGATAAATCAAATTAATGTAATGTAAATTTAGATATAGGAATTGGCGCTTAGACTGGCGCAGGTGTGAAATGAGGAGACATAGGGGCGATGAGTGACAGTGAGTGAGTGTGACTATACCTATACAAACTGGCATATTATCAGAAAGGTGAGTACATTTGTTGGCATTCTTAGAAACAGGTAGTAGGTACAGGTTGACAGTCAGTTAGACACACAGTTAGACAGGCATTACACCGATAATGTAAGAATACTTTGTTTGTTGTTTAACGCCACACTCAGCAATATTCCAGCTATATGACGGCGGCCTGTAATAATCGAGTCTGGACCAGACAATCCAGTGACCATCGATTCATGCAACTTGCATACCACGATATCCTATAACCAAGTCAGCCAGCCTGACCACCCGATCGCTATAGGTTGCTGAAGACAGATTCTAACCCGGATCTTCACGTGTAAGATGAGGTAAGACGCTGGCTGGATGAATAGAAAGATAGTCCGACACACAGAATCGAGAGTTAAATGCATGGTGTAGAATTGATACCAAGTCTGTACAGTTATACTTACACATCCCGTCTTGTGGTCCTGCACCTTGGTCAGTTGCTGGACGTGTTTGGCCAGACTGCATTTACTGGTCAGGAACAAGGTGAGGGCGGTGTCCCCAAAACACGGCACCATCTTCTCCTGCTTGGGCTTTCTCGTGATGACGTAAGTGTCCACGCCGTACAACTTCCCTTCCGTCTGTTCCCACTCTGACCCGCCGTCAGGGAGGTACTCTACCTCTACGTCAAACATACGCCGACGCAACACCGTCCCCATCGGGATGACTAGAAGAAAAGGATGACATGTAGAATTAATGTCGTTTTGTCCATAACGAAATATGACACAATTCTGAATGAGTTGGCCTTACAAAAAGCCATCGATTAAGCAGATATGTCTATTCATTTGATATTTATTCGATCTGGTATGATCCCAAAGAAGCCGTCGACAAATTGTTCTTTTGTGCTAAGTCAGTATTAAGACAGGCGGAAACGCTGATGTCACTTCCGGAGGTTGACAAACCAGCGGTATATCAGGAAATGACACATTTTCTAAAGAAGGGTTATTCTGGACACTTACTGTTGAATCTTGACGAACCCATCCATCTGAACTTCTCGCAGTCGTTCATAATGTCGCCGAACAAGCCGAAACCCAGCAACAAACCGGAATATGCCGAGAGTTGTCGTTCCTGATGAACGCTGACCGCATTTACCGGACCACTTTTACCTAAAATAAAATGGAATTAAATAAGATTAAAATTGAAACAACCAATTGGTTCCTCCAAACACATTTAATGTTGACTCACACCTAAATCCCGATAGAATTTAGGCTTTGAGGTATAACACTGAAGGTTACTTATCTAAGAAAATAATCATTCATATGAAGTCATATTCTGTATACCATTCACCTACATGTTCGGTGTCTCGTAAATCAGTATCATTGTTATATGTTGTAAGATGATAGTACTTACCAAGAGCAATATGGATAGCTGCTGTCATGACGTCACGGGTACCATGGAGATACTGGACCACATAATCTCCGGATCCTGCACAAAGCAGCCACATTGTTAATATTAAAGGTAACAGTGCTAGCTCAACAGAGAACACGTAGTGAATAAGATTAATTCTGATAATATTCGTACGACAGCTGTAGATTCTGTCGCAGTTACAAACTGAAAACACTGTCGATAATTGAGTGCATTATATCTCAATTTTACATTTGCCGGTTTACTCATGCATTCATTCTAAAGAAAGTTCAATAGATGACCATTGTGGGAAATACGGATAAGGACGTTGATAAGACAAGTTCAGCAAGGGCATTGTGTTGATAGAGGATGCTCACCAGCAGGGATGATGCCGATGGGGACTTCACTGGGAACGACTTCAGCGTCCGGGTCGTTGTAATCGATGCCGGCGTCTTTCTGGGCGCGCATCACCAGACCACTCAGGCATTCACAATACAGACCGTCTCCGCCGACAGTGACGACTCTGCAAAGATAAGCACGTGGATGTTGTAGATATCAAGGATAGGAATGATATCAAATGTACAGAGAACTCCCGATAATCCGGAAACCGCAAATTCCGGACGTTTCTGTTTGAGAACTCGCTACTCAGTAGTAGTAGTAGTAGGAGTATGGTAGTATGTTTAATGCTTTTAACAAACAAATCAACTTCTTACGACGAGATCTTTAACCCATTGTAGTAAGTATGTTCGTGTTTTTCATAGTCTCTAGTTAAAAACAAGTATAGCTATCCTTTCATAGCATTGTGTTTAAGTAACGTTGAGACAGGAATGACAGTTACATGGTTTAATCACAGAAATATTAAAACCCAAAACTATTTTATAGCATGATCCTAGTTTTTGCAATCGTAGTATGGACACTGTAATATATCATGTATTAAAACAGAGTACAGTCTCCATTATGATTCATGTCATGAATTCCGACTGAAGAATATATTTATAGAAGGAATGTGTAACAACTGTCAGAGGAAGTGTGAAATCTACAAGACATTCATTTCCTTCTATGCGCCAATGAAATACGCCGCGTCATACAGTTGTTTGTTTCGATGGCAACGATGTCGTCATTCTCATCGCTTACAAAGCCATATATGTCAAACTGATTACAACTTTTCTTTCAAATCTTGACTGAAAATAAGCTCCGGCTTACCCATCGATGTCTGTCAAATCATGGCTCTGAAGGATTTCTTGTGCCTGCTTTGGTCGCTCGGTCACTGAAATCAACATGACAGATAATGAAATTAACACGTCAGGTTATAAAGTTCACAATGCATGAGCTGTACGCCTCAGGGAGACGAATCGTCTTAACTCATTGTCTCTAAGATTTGTGGTACTGTACGTAATTCACGGAAGTATTGTTTTATGACTCTACTCATATTCTTCCGCATATTTTAGCTGTAAGGCAAGTTTTTTAATGATCTTAACACGTAACCTTGCACCACAACCTTTAGTACATTCCCCGTGATGAAATAATAGGCGTCATCTCTCTCTCTCTCTCTCTCTCTCTCTCTCTCTCTCTCTCTCTCTCTCTCTCTCCCAAACGAATTCGATATAACCGTCTCTCTCTCTCTCTTTCTCAATCGAATTCGACATAACCGATCACCATTAATCCAATAATAATGTCAACATTGCTGTTATCTAACTGACAACGTGATATTAATCCCAAACGCTACTCCACTTCATTTTAAGATAAACGTTGTTCAACTAATCCATTTTGGATAAGATTCCATACGTTGGATGTTTCAACTACTATAATCATACCATCTATAAATCATGAATGATATTTGTTTAATTGACCTCAGTTGCAATAGCTGGACAAACATTTCAACATACAATGCCAATCCCACCGTATATCACCATTAGCAATGAAACAGAAGGTAGTGTGTATCATCTAGTAATCTAACCAAATACAACGACAGTATCAGGCCATTCCTGTATCACGTATCCCTATCCCGTTTGTATCAGTCACGGCTCGTGAATCCACGCATATCAAATCTGCTCCAAATAAACATATCTCCCATCTTGGCTGGTATGTTTATTGTCCGTGAATGATCTCATGCCCTGATCAGGGTACTACACGCCTTCAAAGAACGCCAGTCTTTGATAAACATCAGAATGCAATTAAGCGGAGTGACTAGTAGAAAAAAGGTCAAAATCCATAAATGAATGATATCTACCTGTCCAATACGATATTGAAACAACTGATGTCTGTCTGTCCTTTGTCGGGTATTTACCGTTGTTAACACAGAATCGAATGATTACCCATATCATGTCTTTGTGAAATTGACAACAGAACCTTTCATAGCCAATATGTCTGTACGTGAAGATCGCATACAACGAGTCTGTATTAATCGGTATTATTTGCAACGTCAGCTATTCTTAATCAGCTGAACTCATTAACATCTGGCCGCCGCCATATAGCTGGAATATTGCTGAAGGCAAACAAAACACTACCATCGGTAAGTCAAATCTTATATGTATTTAGTTTCTATTAAACCATGCTTAACGGCATTTCTTTTCATGTAAAATATTTTAATTACAATAACTGAGTTATTACAAACCCACATTCTCACAGAATCCTTGTACTTATCTTTCAATGCTTTTCAATATTTATTTATCGAAATGTATATACTATTCGTGTTCGTGATTTAAAACAACATTCAAATGGTAAATAAAAATAAAAGTTTGCATATCAAATGAAGAAAATCCAAGCACTGACTGACCTATAACCTTGCACGTGATGCCAACCAGTTGAAAAAATGGCTCAACCTTCCTGTGAAATATTTTCTTTGCTTGTCGCCGGCCGCTGTTGGGGTTCACGATCACCAAAAGCTGCTTCGGTCGTCTCTTCGCTGAAACACAACACGGAGCTATAGGGGCGCGTTCATGTGTAACACAGCTCTTAATAGTGTATTGTCATTCTGATAGCTTAGGCGCCGCCGTGTAAAATCTTCTTGAGCAATTTATTTGAAGTTTCTATATCGAATCCCCTTTTCATTAAATCTCCAGTTCAGAATTTTGAATATCTCCAGCATCCTGTTAACCGCATGAAGGAGTAAGACATGCTTTTGTTGCTTGCGTGTTGAGTGTTTAGTGGATTGATAGTAAAACGCATGCTCAACGATGAACTAGGTTATATCAAGCTGAGGAACCGCATTTCCTAAACAGCTTAACGACACTCAATATCATAAGCATTACCCTATATTCTGGTCATGTACTTAAATAATCGCACAGTGACACCCACGGGAGTGAAATGAACACGAGATGTATTACACGGCGCTATTAAGAAGTCCCTATTGCTTTTGAAATAGACCAGTATGTCAGTGCAATGCGCACGGGTTGTCGAGTTTATGCAATGTCTTGTGAGGCTTCAGTGTGGCTGTCGATACATTCAAAAACCAAACGAACGCGACGTGCCTTTTCTATACTGAATATAAGGCGTTACATTTTGTCGTGAATATGTTTGACAAAAAATGAATTGAAAAGGCAATTTGAAACCCCTATGAAATCTAGTTGAAAGACATGGGTGGTATATCATGTGTTTATGTGCTGACAACACATAGCCGATTGCGAGCCTCCCTAACATTTGAAGTAAAGCAGATTTTCACGAGAATATAAAAAAGACGTTCTTTCGGAGAAAACATGAAACATCCAAAGTCGTTTCAGGAAAAATCGATTTGAATAAAGGAATGTTTTAAGATGGGACCACGGTTAAAATTCACTTCAAAATTTGAAAGTCAATAAAATTGAGTTATATCTGTAAAAAGTTAAAGCTACATTAACTAGCCCGGGAATGCAGAATAATCCGTCTCCGGGCACCTGGATGCACGCTGGTGTAAGATAACACAGAAAAACCAAGTCACCAAACACGTTACTTCTTCTCGTCAAGCCGAGCTGATCTCCCAAACCCACGTTGCCTAAAGAACTGGGGAGACTATTTCGCACAGAAAGCTGATCACATGACCAAATTTGATTTTAAGCGGAGATTGACTAATGCTCCTCACCTGCCAACATGGGCTCAAGCTGTGCTAGTATTTTGTCGCAAATCTTCTCCGTGCCTTTGAACGTAGCCTTGTCAACTCTCATGTTTGTTTTGTCCACGTCACGAGCGAAGCACACAGTAAACTGTTTCCTGTGTCCAGCATTGTTATTTGTCTCCGACGGTTCCATCTTCAGCGACAGAATCTTGTCCAAGGTCATCACATCTGTAAGAAAACATTCACTGTATCAACCGCTGTCCTCCGTTCTTATCTTATCTCTTCAGCTCTACCACCATCCGTCCATCAGTTGTACGTTTTGCATAGATGCATAAGAACATACAGTGAAACCCTTATAAACCACATCTTTTGCACTTACATCGTATGTATTACTAAAATACTGAAGTTTCCAGTTTTTCAACATGTGTTATATTTGGGATTACACTTTCTTAATAACGTAAAGAGTCCGGACTTCGAACCCACACACTTAGAATAAGGCACCTAATCGCCAGCACACAAAGTAATTGCTTGGAAAGGTAATCCCACATATGGCATATGTTGCATTTGACAACTTTCTGAATGGAATAGTGTGCCCTTTATTTGACGAAGACGTATAACAGTAATCGTCCTCAAAGCGGAGTGTCCGGATTGTCGAGGTTATACTATTCCATCTATTCAAACACGCACACACACAAAGGAGTTGCATATACCTAAAGAAGACACACCTGTTTCTATTGCATCATGCATTAAACGACAGATAACATAATGTATTTATGTATGTACACATTATACCATGAGCCTTCAAGGTAAATAAAGGTTGCAACCTTTGTAAATATCAACGTTTTAAAACTAAATAATACATGATTTCAAGTCAACAACACGTGACATCATATCCTCATGTTTTGACATACTGTTTTTAATAATTGACTGCAACATTACAGAAGCGACGCACAATTTCAACTCACTAACTCACTTCAACCTCTCAAACATTTCCGATAATACATTGTGAAGAAATTTCAGATCTCACGAGAAAACAACCAAAGACGTAAAAAGAATATGCATCATTTGGCTATAGCAATCAGCTATAAACCGGTGCAAGATTAATCGATAGTTTGATCACAACACAAACATTCCGTTACGTGTGATGGACGCATACAGGCTTAACTATGCTTGACATCTATCGCCAGTCACGGCACTAAAATACTTGGACTGGAATCCACGTAATTGTACAATGACATCTTTTCCAAACTATTGACCCCGTACTTTTATTGAGTATACATTTCAAACATCACCTGCTCGTATTTCTTTTAGTGTTTACATTTGTACATATAGCATTCAAAGGTATGTGTATATATATAGTCATTGTATGCAAACACAAGTTGCAGTCGAACGAGTATGTACGTTTCTTTTGATGTGTTTCAAACATAGACGTGTATTGACTACGAATAAGTGAGCTAGGTGCACTGCGCACACGAAGACAATGACAAGTTCATGTCATTACTGGAGCATAAATTATTTAGCATTGTTAAAGAACTTTCAAGGATACGTCAATACATAATACTCAAACATTTCCACTTCATCGAACAGTTTCAAGGAACATTGTCGTTTTCAGATTAGGGATGAAATCTACGCTCCGAAAAGAATTAGCATTTAATGTTAATATCACCAAAAATATATGCAAACTCATAAAATACAGTCCAAAACGAAAGACTCTCAATAAGCATGATAATATTTGTAATGGTTTAAAACAATGTTACATCAATGTGCGACAGATCTGCACAGAGAGTAGGTAAATATTTAAATTCATTCATGTACATTTTCAAATACCTAAATAAATAATTATTGACTTACCAACTTCTTCAACACTGCTGGTACAACTAGTCCTCCGACTTCTGTAAGTCATTGTTGTGTCCGTTAATTCCACTTCAACACAACGTCCATCCTTTATCAATTCCATCTTGTCAAATTGGCCAACTCCAGTAATAAAATCCTTACCGCTCTCCGCACTAAAGCAATGTGCTATGTGTTCAGGGAATTCCCTTCCTACCTTTTATACGTAGCTGTGACGCGAGGGTCATATTATTTTCAACCAATCAGAACCGTCCTAACTCGAGCGTGTAGGGTCTTGTGAATCAAGGCGAGTTTATCGAGACTGTGAGCCTACTCGCTATGGTGACACGGTGTCGTCGCTTCACACCTGAAGATAATGACTCAAGACTCGCCATGGAAGTTGCCGCATCGGAAATAAAATTGGAGCGTTAACAGATACGTGGTTTTATCTGTCAAGTTTATATGTGAGGTATTTCCTATGGTAGGTAGGCAGTGACAATGGGGTGTGAGACGAGGGCTGGTCATGTGAGTTATTGGCTAGTATTCGCCGCATTATTCGCGTCAGAGACGGGAGCAACCCTGTTCGGAAACTGAAGCATACAATTATATTTTGTGATTAAGCATTAGTCGATGGCGAGAAATTTAATTTCAGCATTCCGAGCAGACAGCAGCGTGACTTGCCCGTGTAAGTCTAATACATTGTACATACCAACGCTCGCTACGAGGTCGCTCGCATGTGAAGTGTGTGTGAAGCGGTATGTGTTTAAATGTGTGTCTTTGGAGGTTTTGTTGTTGTTTGTGCGTGTGCGTGCGTGTGTTGTTTGTTTTAGTAGATTTCTTTGGAGGGGGATGTTTCGGGAGTGGGGGATTGTGGGTTGTGTTTTTTATACTACAGAATATAAGACCCGACCCGATACAAGACAAATATATGGATAACAACCTCTTTATTTGTTTCACACGACGTTTCTGGGCTAGTTTCTTGCCCCTTCTTCTGGTGAATGAGTACCTTTTTTGAATAGATGTTTTATATACTTTTTTTCACTTTTCATCATTGTAAGTTATCAATGAAACGAAACTTATTTGATTACAAATATACCATCAAGCAAAATGAAACATCTATACATATGCAGTTCAGGTTTATGTTTTATTCATTAAATGAGATACTCATTTACGATATAGATGTTGTTAACTTGACGATATACTGTCACACATTTACTGGGTTGCTTAACAATTTCAATACATATTTTATTTTGAACCTTGAAATCAGTGTTAATAGTCACTGAATTTTGACATTTGTGAATGAAGTATTTAATATCCCAGAAAATACCTATTCATAAAAACTACATATTATTTCATGAAAATATATAAATGACATAGAATAAAAAGTTAAGTTTCATTGTTGTTCGTCAAGCATTAAAGGTCAATGTAGGGAAACCGAAACTGACATTCTTAACGAAACAATTCTCCAAACATCTTCCATAGTATAAGCTCATCAATGGATAATGTATTTATATGTGCCCATTTCATACCAAACTATCATTGCCACATACAAAACGTTCCTACTTTTTGCAGAAGCGTTGTGATGTAGCCTAGTGGTTAAAGCAAACAGAAGTCACGACAAAACCCTGGGTTCGATTCCCACTTGGATGTCCCGTGTGAAGTCATGTCTCAGGTGCCACGGTGTAATAATTTCCGAAATGTTGCAAAAAAACACACTCTAAAGACGTACTCACTAACACCTATTTTCAAACGCAGATTTTCCAATTTATTGAGACGATGATAATATTGACCGTAAATATATCCGCGTTTCTAATTAAATTCTTTCATCATTGACTCATCAGGAACAATCCTCCTGAATGAACCGCAAGCTTTCCCTACTGTATTGAAACCACGTAGCAGCACATACACCTCCGGTAGGAGAACCAGCATCCTTCATAAAGTGCGCAACATCTCTGGATGCAGGGGGACCGCTAAACTTGACTTCCGTGTTGACTAATTTAACGTTTCCTCCCGTCACAGGTTGTGCTGGCGGTCAACAAACAATCATATCGTGTAAGGAGCAAGCTGCTGCAGGCGAAGTTACAAGCCCCAGACAGCACGCTCTACACGGATTACGAGTCGCACTATGTATGTGTATAAATGTACTTGGGTTTTTTTTAAAAACGGTAATGAAAGATCCAGTAACGCCGTTATTGCTCACGTCAAAGGGGCAAACGCTGTCGAGGATGCTGTGAACGGCGTGTTTATTGTTGCAACTTCACCATTGGCGCATTTGGAAAGATGACTGTAGAAGAAGTAGATCTTTTGTTACTTTTATTAGTCTTGGAGACGATATTTAAAGCCTGAAAGTGGGATATCTTTGAATGTGCTGTTTCGAACATAGAATACTGTATAGAATGTACTATTTCGAACATGAATGTTTATCGAATGTATTGTTTACAACATAGGAGAGAGTTTCGAATGTGCTGTGTCGAGCATGAATATTTATTGAATGTATTGTTTACAACATAGTAGATGGTTTTGAATGTGCAGTGTCGAACACTGAGGAATGTATTAAATGTATACTTTGAGTGAACATAGTTTTATATTAATCAAAATGTGTATTTGTTTTGATGACATATTTCGAAGTATGAAGCATTACAGTCAATGTGCCGGAATTCGTTGTATTAATAGGAGAGGTTATAATTTATCATAACCAAGCGAACAATTACTTCCTAGGCATAAACGAATTGTGTCGTACCCTGATAATAAAACCAATTATAGCCACACAAACTTAACGCAAAACATATTAAGTAGATAATGAATAAATAAACACAATGAAGTTACGAGATAAAAGTTGTTACATGTTTCATGATAAACTCCGAACATAATTTTCTCGGGTAACTTGAGAGTGTTTAACGTTAGTAAGTACAATAAGATTTATGTGTATCAATATTTTTTAATTGGTGAGCATTATTTCTCAATGTTTGATTGTTTGGTTGGTTGGTTGTTTTGTTGTGTTTTCTGTTTGTTTTATTGTTGTTGTTTTTTCCGTTTTATCTTCTCGTTTAGGGGCTGGGGATTTGGGGGTGTTGTTTTTGTATTTTGTTTTGTTGGGTTTTTTTGTTTTTTTTGGGGGTTGTGATTGGGTTTTTGTTTTAGTTTTATTGTTTGGGGTTTCTTTGTTTTTTGTTGTTTTGTTTTTGTTTTTTTTGTTTTGGGGGGTTCATGCATACATTAATTACCATCATAGGTTAGAGTAAAAGTGTCAGTGATCAATGGTTGCTACAGTCAGAAGCTGCTACAAAAATAGACGCGTGCTTAAAGTGCACAGATCTACATGTATAGGCTGAAAAAACAATCTATGTTCCCATTACTCCACACCGGAAGTCATTGGAAAATGCCAGGTCTTAAGGTATCCGAAACATTGCCCGTCCATTAGCAACCTGTGCACGTGCCTACTTGCAGACCTAGGCGCAACAATGTGTAAGTAGGGCCTCTGTAGTCGATGTAAGATTCCGCTGATAAAAATAGATCCCTGTATCTATTAATGGTAAACAAAAGAAATGCCTGTGGATATTTTTGTCCTTCTCCAAGCCGACATGATCAATATAGATTTCTTAGTATGAGAAAAACAAAACACATCAATAGTGCAAGAAATCGTGTTATATTTACAAGATATTCGTAGTTTGTTTTCTTTGTGACATATTATAGATTAAAAACAATAGACAAATAATACTATCACATTCGCAGATCTCTGTGACATGTTTGACATGCCAAGCAAGGATTCAACTTTAGAGCTTTTTGAATACGGGGGTCGACTTGAAAAGAATTTGATAATAACTAAACGTGTCTTTAGCATGATGCAATGGAAAAGAAATTCAAGAACATCCACGCCAAGCACGGTACTCTCCCAAAGGAGTTTAAATATTCGTTTAAGTAAATATGAATCAAAGTGGTTCAAATGTCGACATCTGACTTTAAGACTGAAATATTTTATCCATGGTAAAAACGAAGAATTCCTACACATCTCTCGCAGTTACGAGAGTCACTCGAAATCGTACGAAACCCATTCTGTTGTCACTTTTAACAGGTGCACTGCGATATGCCAACATGGAGAATTCGTCAGATCTCAGAACTGTTTATGTTTTCTTGAAAATTACACTTCAACCCACGAAGACAAAACTCTTTACAGTAGCATTGCAGACGGCAGATGTTAGCCATCCACGTCCCAAATATCGATGTAGTTGGACGCCGTTCAGGTGGTCGTGTTTACTTATTTCTGCTGAATCATTCCCACTAATTTTATCTGTCCTTAACCCACAAACCACACACACGTCCGTCCCATTTCGAAACGACATTTCGTAAACACTGACGTAACCACGTGGCCTTGTTATGGATCTATTTCTTTATACATTATTAAATTGGTAATTTCGAAATATATAATCTGAATAAAGATTTATTCCTGACGTACATGTGATTTGAACCACTAACACTAAGTCTCCTGCCTGATTTATAGACAGAATTATGTCATGATATATATCTTGTTTCAAATGTTGCATTACAATAGGAAAGTCTGAGAACTAAACAAAATGGTGTTTATTCATGTCGTGTCGTAGTATGATGAGGTATTCTGAGATGCTAATCGACTCAACAAATAAACATGACTGCTAACTAAGGATAGGAAAGTATACCGCGTTCGTTTTGTGTGTAACTGGAAACTGAAAGAACTGTTTATGTCAACCATCACACACTACTGAAACATTCAATGAAAAGGTATCTGACATTGCGTAAATTCATGCACAACTTCATTGGTGTAACTCGTCGTGATAAGAAATTTAATTTGCAACCAATGACCTCTTACATGTTTGAAATGTAAATTTGTACCGAAAGTGCCAAATGCATTGATGTTTCAAAGATAACATAGCTAAGATATCAATCAACAGTTCTTTATGCTAATGTAAAAGATTCTCTTGGGGTTTTTTTAAGTCCCCATTTAACGCCAGTATACTACATATTTTTAAAAAAGCAGCTTACAATATTTACAAATAAAGATCAAACATGAAATAAAATCAGCTGTGAAGTATAGTGTCTTTTGCTCATCAATTTGTTTATATTCATGTTTTGTATTTATATTGTATTTATATTAATGTTTTGGAGTTCTTGTTTATATATTCTGCAATACACATGTTTCATAAACGCCCCCCTTCCTGTTAT